AAGGCATTTTAAAAACAAAAGCGTTATTTCTTAAAAAAAAAAAGGCCATTTTCAGAACTTTTCAAAGTGAAACAACACAGGCAAAATGTTAAGAACATATTAAAATAAGAGAATATAACTTTTCTATTATAAAAGATAAAATATAAAACCATTAAAAATTGTTACAAAGAGGAATCAACCTCAACTTTTGCTGCGATCGCGATCGTACGTTTTAGGGCTAAAAAAAAATCCTAATAAATGGTCCCGTGATCAAACAAAAACTATTTTTATGCCATTAACTATGATGATTTTAAAGTCAGCAATGTTTTGCATGACAGGTTTAAAAAAAAACGAAATCTAGACCTAGAAGAATATGTGGGAAAATGAAATGGAAGAAAAACACCAACTTTATTTGAATGGTGCAATGCTTGAAGAATGCTTTGAAGCAACAAGATATTAGAGCCATTTTTCCAAGTAAACAATATATTATATAATGTGATAATGATGTTTTAAAATCATTTTATATCTTTGAATATATATTTAATAAAACTTTGCCTAGGATTTGTCTTGATTTTTAAATTAGACATAGAGGTACATGTATGTTAATGATAAGAAGAACCTATCATCTAATGATTTCTATTATTATTCAGTATTAATGTAAGGAAATTGGTCAATTAAGGGAATTAAAACAAAGTGACCACTATTAAGAGGAAGCCTCTTCCCATGTGTATGGCTGTCCTTTAATTATACGTCTAAAAATTTTGAAATGTAAAAAAAATGGCCAAACCGTGGCTATAGTGAACCGTGGCTATAGTGAACCAAAAGCTCTGTCCCATTGGGGTTCACTATAGAGGGGTTTTACTGTATTTAGCAACTTCTCCGGTAGGAGGACATCTCTCCCTAAAGGACACTTTGGCTCTGTAATTAGGTGTTGTCCTTTACAGGGAGGTTCTCCTGTATAAATATAACTTGTGGTAACTTTAAACATCTGTTGAAAAACAGATGTGTCCGAAAGCTTGTGTTATATAATGACAGCAAAATAAAAGAAACACTTCCCATTTTGCCTTCTTCATATAGCATCATATATCTTTGGGGGGATTATTATCTAATCTATATGCAAAAGTGTTGTCCACTAAAATGAATGTATTCTTTGGGCATCGCTGTCAAAAGTAAACACTATCTAAACAACATACTTTCTCTTTATTTAAAATTGGGTAACACCTCACTAAACAGTAAACACAACAGTAAATAGTAAGACCAAATCCAAATAAATAAATAGTGTGTGACGTTTCAGTAACAACGCTGTTACCCAAACGTCACACACCATTTATTTATTTGGATTTGGTCTTATTACCTTGTGTTTATAATCTATAATCCAAATTGTGCCTTATCACCCCCATAAACAGTGTAAAATGAATCAATGCGCTGTGTTGAGGAGAATAAAAATTTTTTACAATGGATAATTCATTAGAAGAGAAAATTGCTATAAAGTATGAAAAAAAGATCAGAAAGCTTGCACATTGCACGAATAAAGAAACACATTGCTCTACTGTTTATATTTTACACAATGGATAAAATACTGAATGGATATTTATCCTTTGTAGTAATAAAATATCAAATATAAATATTGAAAAATTATGATTAAATCATTAAAAAAATGGGGAAAAGTAGCAGATTCACACATTTTCACTAAAAGGCGAGGTGAGATGCTTATTTTAGGAGCCAGAGAGAAAACATGCTGCCAATTACAGTATACCTTCCTGTAAAGGACACCTAATTGCAGATCCAGTGTCCTTAAGGGAGAGGTGTCCACTTACCGGAGAGCTACTAAATAGTAAAAATGGCAATTTTTCAATTGAAAACTGTTCTTTATAGAGAGGTGTCCTCTATCGCGAATTTCCTCTCATGGAGGTTGTTCTACTGTATTTTATTTCACTCTAGGCTTAATCACCATCTGCGAAAATATTCCCATTTTTTAAAACAACCTGAATAAAATAAAGAAAAAGACATCTCCTGATTGTGCAACTAAAAGTTGCTGATGGCTTGTGCCATCTGTCAGAATAAATATCAAAAATTCAATTCATTGACTTTTAATTATTCCAGATTTGGTCAAATACCCATTCTTGATTAATCAACAAAAAGCTAACCACGTACATGTTTCGGGGTTTTGGACCTAAACTAAATTAGCATAATAAAAGAAAATAAGACCTAATCCAAATAATTTATTAGTGTGTGACGTTTCGGCAACAATTATTATTGTTATTTATTGTTATTATCGGCATTATATTAGCATAACTTAACGAATTGATACATTTAGCATCACATGTTACTAAGCGGAATACAGAAATGTGAATCTCTCAAAGGCAGTAATGTAACACACATGGTACATTATCATTCTATAATATATTGTTATTATTTTTTATTATTATCTCTAGTACACATGGTACAGGCCATGATAATCATGGTGGGTAAAAGTTGGCGACTGTTTTTACTCTAAGTGCACCAAATGTCTACACACATGAAAAGCAGTTCGACTTTGGCACTTACATTATTATGTTGCAGAAATACACTTATGGACAAAACTTAAGAAAGTGGAAAGTCTTTCATATCACGGATAATTTTTTTTTAAGAAGACAGAGGCAACTTGTTCACACTTGGTTATCACATGTATTCAATAAAGATCACTGTATAGTAAATATCTTTCAGAGTTATTGTCTGAATCCAGATATACATGCTAAAAGATACAACAATAATACAAGTTTTGGGTAAAATGTACATAGAATATATATAGATCTCAACATAAAATTCCAATTTATTCTCTGATATAACTGATATCATAATACTTAGATCATAGAATTATAAGGGCTGGTATCTACAACTTTTGCCTAAATGCTTATTTTTGAAAATTTATATATATTATTTTATGAAAAAATTATAAATGTTATTGTTATCTAATTCCAAATGTTCCTTTTTTTATATTAAAAATAGGTTGGAAAAATCAATAATAAATTAATTTTAAAAATAGGTTTTCATTTTAAAGTGTCAAAATTATTTTGGTGAGCAAAACTCACCTAAAAGTTTATATATATCAATTTTAAATACATTTTTGATTTCTAAATTATATAATTTGTTAAACGCGAGGATGGGCATACACATTTTGCTGTGGTTATTAGTGGATTTTAATTTATAAATATTTTTAAGTTTTGGTTGCATCATATTTTGAAGTTTTTATTTTTACCACTATAAATGTATATTTTTCGAACTTTCCCTATTAATGAAAATGAAAAACACTTTGGCATTTAAATATAAACATAGATTTAACCCTTTCTTTGTTATATAAACCAAAAGCAAAACATGATGCCACTAGTTCGTAAATCTTTTAAAAATAAGCGTTATTTATGATTAAAAATAATATTTTCGTATATAATAATATAGTATATATCCCCTCGTTTTATATTTATGGGCATAGTTATGAAATGATGTTTGCATGTCATAATGTACACAATTCCAAAGTAGGCAAAAATTTTAATTACCCTGTGTTTGTCCATCGATTGCTTGAACAGTCTGATAAAGTGTGTCTAAAATATTCATAAAAATCAGAAATTGTATAAGATTATATATTTTGATATTTCCGCAATGTAAAGAGTTTATACGCGCCATGCCAATTGATCGCAGCTAGGCTTGACCTCTATAGTTTATATTTGGAATAATAGAATATAAGCTTTATGAAATTTATTTTTATTGTCATAATTTCATGAAGTTGCAATAAATTGTTGAAAATTAATTTTAGAAGTATTATTAGGAAATTTTAAAAATCGTAATATTTTTATAATATTATTGTAAAATGAGATATATTTTTAAAATATATATTTAAATTATTGAAATTATCAAATTTTATTTATATATATATATATAAATATATATATTCAGAGGACACGAATTTTGCTTTCTCAACTTTTATAAAAATATTAATATTCTATTATGAAAGCGAAAAGATATATATAAATAATACTTTCCATTTTCACTAACACAATTATTTTCAAAATATATTTTGAATACAAATGAATATTAGGCTCAACTTTAATAATATTACTTCAAAGTGAGAAAAATCTGAATATTTAAATATATATCTGTGTTTTCAAAATGTGTGAATCGATTAACCTATTTTAAAATATTAAATTTAATATTGCTAAATATATCAAAACATTATTTGAATGCTACACATGATGGATTTGGATAAGAAGCTATACTTATCATTTTTCATTCAGAAACAAGTCAAATATATGTGTTAGGACACATCATAACCTTTGTATTATAGTATGCCACGATTCACTCAGAACCCCAACTAATCATGTCCCGCCCTATTTCTCTAAGCCAGAGTCTGAGATAGATTCAGGCGCTCCTTCCCTGTGGTCGCTGACTTGATCCCACCAGCATCAAGCTAGACTCCACCATACTTATCCTTATGGGCATGACATGGGGTCTGAATTCAGCATCTTCAGGTAGAACACTTGTTCCACCACAAGCTGCAAACCTTTACCAAGCTGACCTCAAGATGTTTAGGTCCCACCATGTCCATTATATTTTTAATTATCATATTTTAAATATTTAATACTTTTGAAAATAGATCCATAAATAAATATTTAAATAAAAAGACATATATTTGGATCAAACTATCATTTATTGTACCAATATTTAGGTTGGCTGAACGCCAACTTTTATCAAGGTATTACACTGAAATATTGACAAAATAAATGATATTTTGATCCAATATATGCCTTTTTATTTAAAGATTCGATACTTTATAATCTATATTCATTTTTGGTGAATTTTTATTCAATCGTCATTTTTATTATATCTTCACTTCAAAGAAGGGTGATTATAGCTTTAGGGGGTGAGTTCAGCAACACTAGGGCAAGTAAGCGGGATATTTATATTTGGGAGGGGGGGGGGGGTTCATTTTTAGAGTGATGGGCAGGAACAACACAAGAGGAGTTGCTAAAACAGCGCTGGTCGATGGTGTGTTGTCAGTCAGGACAAAATACCAGCTTGGCTAAACAAATTCTTTTAATAACTATCTAAATATAAGGAATATAATAATAATATAATAATAGCAGAGTCTTATTCCTTTTCTTCTCAGAGCTCTCAATCTCTGAGCCTAATACTCTGCACATCTCCTCTCTTACTTTTACAAGAATCTTTGAGGTTTCTTGACCACCCTTCCATATCTTGTCTGCACTACTGGCGTTGAAGGGAGGCTCCTCTCTTGATCCTGGTCTTGGTTTTCACTCCGCGTCCTTCCTTCTCTTGTAGGTGAGGTTTTTGATGTCGGGCAATTTTCCTCGGTCTCCTGGTCGTCCTTGCATTTCCTTGTTTGCCCTGTTGATGTCGAAGGGGGGGCCTCCTTATTCCTCAGCTCCTGGCGCCGACTATCTTCAGGAGCATCCATGGTACTTTCCGTAGTTGGCAGGCGTGTGAGGTGAAGCCTGTTTCGCCTAACTTTTCCTTGAGGAGTTTGTACCCAATAGGAGCGAGGTTCTTGGGATTTGTGTAGAACTTTCCCTTCTACCCTTTGATCTCTAATCCAAATGCTGTCTCCCTGTTGAAGCTGAGGCAAGCTATGTACGTCATGTCGTTTATCATATAGACGCTTCTGGTTGATCATCCTCCTTTTCTCTCTTTATTGCAAGGCTTTGGAGTCCAAGTATCTTGGCATCAGCTGATATTATGGTCAGTCTTGAGGGATTATATAAGGCTAGATTTGGTCTGGATGCCAATTCTTGCTTCAGTAGATTAAAGCTCTTTTTCTGAGGTTCCCCCCAAACCCACTCATTTTTTGTGCTTAATAATGAGTTCAAAGGTTGTATTTTGTCCGCAAGGTTGGGAATGAATTTTCCCAAGTAATTCACCATGCCTAAGAAAGACTTCAATTCTTTTGCTGATCTAGGCTCTTCCATTTTTATAACAGCGTCGAGCTTTTCTTCGTCAATGAATAAGCCTTCTGAACTAATTGTCTGTCCCAGGAATTTTATAGTTTTAACTCCAAATTGGCACTTTTCTGGGTTGAGTGTCATTCCTTCTTCTTGAAGTTTCTTCAAAACTTGGCGTACCCTTTCGTTATGTTCTTCTAAGGAGGATCTGTATACAACAATATCATCCATGAAGCATACCACCCCTTCTATTTTGCCCAGAAGCTGAGTCATCTTTCTTTGAAAGATTTCTGGTGCTGATGATATTCCAAATGGGATTCTTTTGAAGAGGAACCTGCCGAATGGCGTTATAAAAGTGGTTAGTTTTTGGGATTCTTTAGCTAACCCGAACAGCCAAAATCCAGAATTTGCATCTAGCTTGGAAAAATAGCAAGCATTTCCAAGCTGTCCCAGGATATGCTCTGTTGCCGGTAGTGGATAATTTTCTCTTCTTATATACTGATTTAGCTTTGTTAAATCAACACAAATTCTTAATTTCCCTCCTGGTTTAGGTACTGCAACCATTCCCGCACACCACTCAGTTGACTCTTCTACTGATTCAATGACTCCTAGCCTGGTCATCTCTTCAAGTTGTTCCTTCAACTGTTTCATTAAGGGAATTGGAACTCTCCTAAGGGTGCACAAGGCATATGGTTTCGCATCAGGTTGTAGGGATATTTTGTAATTTATTTTAGCATGTCCTAAACCACTAAATAATTTTGGAAACTCTCTTTTTGGGTTAAAAGGATTCGATGATAATTGCTGAATCATTCTCACAATATTTAATTTCTCGCTTGTCTCCCTAGAGAGAAGTGGTTGTTTCAGTTTATCAACAATGTATATTTTCGAGTTTAAGTGCTGGCCTTTATTTTGAAGTATCAAGTGGATCATTCCAACTGTTTTCAAGGGTATGCTCTGTTGCCGGTAGTGGATAATTTTCTCTTCTTATATACTGATTTTGCTTTGTTAAATCAACACAAATTCTTAATTTCCCTCCTGGTTTAGGTACTGCAACCATTCCCGCACACCACTCAGTTGGCTCTTTGGACCAGGAGACCGAGGAGGATTGCGGAGGATTGCCCGGCATCAAAAACCTCACCTACAAGAGAAGGAAAACCAAGACCAGGATCAAGAGAGGAGCCTCCCTTCAACGCCAGTAGTGCAGACAAGATATGGAAGGGTGGTCAAGAAACCTCAAAGATTCTTGTAAAAGTAAGAGAGGAGATGTGCAGAGTATTAGGCTCAGAGATTGAGAGCTCTGAGAAGAAAAGGAATAAGCCTCTGTTATTATTGTATTATTATTATATTATTATGAATATATTTTTATTAATAATTATTTTATTTATAAATATTAAAATTTATAATTAATAATATGTCGTTTTTAGGCGTTAAAATAAATTATTTTGAGCAATTATTTTTAAAATGGAGTTATATCGATTTAAAAAGTGTTATGATTGATCCGGCAACACTGCCGACTCGACTTAAAAACACTCTTAGATATATAACCATGTTATAAAAAATAGATGTTAATAAATAAATACTTAGTTCAGTTGCATTCTGCGTGATCAAATAGACACAAGAACAACATAAATAACATGGTGGCAGCGGAAAAGTGAGTACTTTTTCAAATAAATATATTATTGAAAAATATTAGTGAAAAAAAGAAAACATGGACTTTGTTAGGCCTAGCGAACTCGCCCTGCACGGAAATGTAGCGGAAAATTGGCGAAGGTTCAAACAGCGATTAATGCTTTATCTTGAAGCAACAGAAAAAGCCACAAAGCCTGATAAACTGAAAGTTGCCATTTTATTAAATTTTATTGGCGAAGAAGCCTTGGAAGTTTTCAACACATTTCATTTAAAAGAAGATGAAGCAGAAAATTTCGATCTTGTAATAAACAAATTTGATGATTTTTGCGAGCCTAAAAAGAACGTCATTTTTGAAAGATTCAAATTTTTTTCAGCGACCCAGAAGGATGGTGAATCCATCGATAGTTTTATAACAGAACTAAAAGGATTATCCACATCATGTGAATTTGAATCACAAAAGGATAGTTTAATAAGGGATCGCATTGTGTATGGAATACAAGACAAGGCTTTGCAGGAACGCCTCTTAAGAGAGCCCAATTTAACTCTTATAAAAGCCATTGAAATGTGCAAAACAGATGAAATAAGCAAGCAACAGATCAAGATCATGCAGAACAACCAGAACATTTGTCAAATAAGAAAATATGAAAAGAAACACAGTCCAAAACAAAATCAAGAATCTGAAAAAGAATTCAAATGCCAAAGGTGTGGAAAGTCTCACAGAGCAAAAAATTGTCCTGCATGGGGTAAAAGATGCTCCAAATGCAAAAAGATGAATCATTTTGCAGCTTTCTGTAAAGGTTCAGCTATCAGAAGTCTGAATGATGAAACAGAAGAAACTGTATGGTCAATACATGAAGCAAAAGTAGTCCATACTTTGGAATGGAAAAAGTCCATCATAGTGAATGGAAAGGAAATATGTTTCAAGTTGGACTCTGGAGCAGAAGTAAATGTTTTGCCATACACATTCACCAGACAAATGAAAGGTTTGGAAATATTTCAGACTAACCGAAAGCTAACATCATATACAGGACATGAAATCAAGATAAAAGGAATTGCCACACTAAATTGCAAAACTAAAAATAAGACGGAAAGTCTAGAATTTTTCATTGCTGATGGATACTATCAACCAATTTTAGGAATAGAAGCTATTGAAAAGCTTTCACTAATTAAGAAATGTGATGCTGTCCAAACAGAGCAAAACAATTCAGCAAAAGAAATTTTGAACAGGCACAAAAATATATTTGAAGGCATAGGAAGACTGCCAATTGAACACAAGATTAGACTAAAAGAAAATGCAACTCCAGTTATTGCTCCAAGCAGAAAAATTCCTTTTTCCATTAGAGAAAAAGTTAAAGCAGAATTGGAACGGATGGAAAAACTTGACATTATTGAAAAAGTTGAAGAACCAAGCGAATGGACACACCCTATTGTAGTGGTACAAAAACCTTCTGGAAATGTCAGAATTTGCATGGACCCCAGGGAATTGAACAAATATGTTCAGAGAGAGCGCTATATTCTGCCAACAGCTGAAACAATATTTTCTGAACTGAAAGGTGCTACAGTTTTCTCTGTATTTGATGCATCATCAGCTTTCTGGCAAATCCCATTAGACAAAGAAAGCACCAACCTGTGCACCATTGCGACTCCCTTTGGAAGATTCCGGTTCAAGCGACTTCCCTATGGATTGAACAGTGCATCGGAGGTATTCCAGCGATGCATAAACAATATTCTTTCAGGTCTCCAGGGAACTGCTTGCTATATGGATGACATCTTGACCTATGGAAGCACAATGGAAGAGCACAACCGAAACCTTGAAACAGTTCATCGAAGGTTGGAAGAAAATAATGTCAAGCTCAATGCTAAGAAGCAGCAGATAGCTGTCGACAAAGTAAATTTCTTAGGCCATATAATCAGTCGAGATGGAATAGCCATTCAAGCTTCAAGAGCAGAGGCAATACAAAAGTTGAAAAGACCTGAGAACAAGACTGAAGTCCAAAGATTCTTAGGTATGGTAACGTACCTTGGCAAATTCATTCCTAATCTTTCTGACAAGACTGCACCTCTAAGGAAATTGATAAGCAACAAGAGTGAATGGAAATTTGGAGGCGAAGAAAATGATTGTTTTGAAAAACTCAAGGAAATGGTTTCGAATGCTCCAATATTGACATTTTTTGACCCAACCAAGCCAATCACCATTTCATCTGATGCAAGCCAATATGGTATTGGTACAGTGCTCATGCAAGGGGGACATGCAATTGAGTATGCGTCCTTCAGCCTGAATGCAACTCAAAGAAAATACGCACAGATAGAGAAAGAACTTTTGGCTATAGTCTTTGGATGTGAACGCTTCCAGTACTATATTTGGGGAAATGATGTTATTGTGGAAACTGACCACAAACCTCTCCTGAGTATTGTTAAGAAACCTTTAGAAAAGCTTTCCCCAAGACTGCAAAGAATGGTCTTACGTCTGATGAGATTTCAAATATCTTTGAAGTTTACACCAGGGAAAAACATGTTTGTAGCTGACCATCTGTCTAGAGATCCATTAAAAGATGAGGTGGACACAAGCTATTTAGAAGGTCAAACTGAATCAGTGCACATGTTGCTGGTTACCACAGATGAAAAAATAAAGAGACTACAAAAGGAAACTCATGGGGACCACACCTTGATACAACTAATGGAGTATGCGAAGAATGGATGGCCGAAATATAAAACTAAGGTCTGTGATGAAGCAAAACCCTACTGGCAATTTCAAGATGAAATTCATGTGAGTGACGGAATTGTTTACAAAGGAAATTGCATCATGGTGCCATCGACTCTTCGAAAAGAAATCCTGCAGGTTGTTCATTCATCACACCAGGGCATAGCAGCTTCCAAAGAAAAAGCAAGATCAGCATTTTACTGGCCCGGCATGATAACACAAGTAGAAAATGAAGTGGAAAAGTGCAGAACATGTCAGGAATATTCAAGAAAGAATCCTGAGGAGTCAAGAATAGCTCATGAAATCCCTGAATTTCCATGGGAAAAAATTGCTGTAGATTTCATGGAGGTGAGTGGAACCAGTTCCATCTTGGTTGTCGATTACCACTCAAAGTTTGTTGAAATCCGGAAATTATCAAGCAAAAGAGAAACCGAAACCATCATGCAGTTGAAAACCATTTTCAGGACTCATGGAATTCCAAGAACTCTAGTTTCGGATAATGGACCCCCTTTCAACTCTACTGGATTCAAAAATTTTGCTCAGAAATATGAATTCAAACACCAAACCTCCAGTCCCAAATATCCAAGATCTAATGGACAAGTTGAGAGGACAATTCAAACCATCAAAGGACTGATAATTAAAGCTGTGAAGTCAGGAAGAGATCCCAATCTGGCTTTGATGGAGTTCAACAACACACCTAAGTATGACTTGCCATCTCCGACCCAAATGCTTATGGGAAGATCTGTGAGAACTCTTTCGACATACACTCGACAACAGTTGAAACCACTGTTTGACACAACAAAGAATTATCAAAAATTGAGAGACCATCAACAAAAGTATGCAGGAAGTCCAAAGAGAATTTTGAGACCTTTGGAAGTAGGAGACAACATCATGTTGCAGGAAAGGCATAGAAAATGGGTTCCGGCAACAGTGACCGCAAAGCATGAAACTCCACGCTCATATATGGTGAAAACACCAAGTGGTTCTGAATACCGCAGGAACAGGTCTCACCTTAGACCGAGAAAGTTCAGTGTAGAAGATTCTGCCCCAACAATTCAAAGTCCTAGCATTTCTGGATCTCAAGCAGGGACAGCCATGGATGACAACATACAAGATCACGGAAGACCCACTTCTGAAAACAGAAGAGCATATGATCCAAGGGAGAACGTTGCCAAGAAAGGTGAAGAATCATCTACTTCTCCTAGTGTGCGAACCCGCAGTGGTAGAACAGTGAGAAAACCTTTGCGTTATAGAGACTAGGAGAACTGCAATCCTTTTTATTTTTGTTTAAAGGAAACATGTTATGATTGATCCGGCAACACTGCCGACTCGACTTAAAAACACTCTTAGATATATAACCATGTTATAAAAAATAGATGTTAATAAATAAATACTTAGTTCAGTTGCATTCTGCGTGATCAAATAGACACAAGAACAACATAAATAACAAAAAGGGCGTATTATTTTATTTTGATAGTTTAAAATGTAAATATAAAAATATATACTTGATATTTTTTATATTTTAATATATATTAGTTTTTTAATTTCCGAAAATAATTATTTTGATATTATATTTAAATTATTTTATAATTTGCTTACTGTCGAATTTCAAATATTATTTTTTTTCGAGCAACGATCTTCTTTAAGAATTCTATTTACCGCTGCGAGTTTGCTTGATGTCGAGTTTCAAATTTTCTTCGAACAACGACTTTCTTTAAGAAATTAGTTTACCGCTGCGAGTTTACTTGATGTCGAGTTTCAAATGCTTTTCGAACGACTTTCTTTAAGAAATTAGTTTACCGCTGCCACCATGTGTTGTCAGTCAGGACAAAATACCAGCTTGGCTAAACAAATTCTTTTAATAACTATCTAAATATACAGAATATAATAATAATATAATAATAGCAGAGTCTTATTCCTTTTCTTCTCAGAGCTCTCAATCTCTGAGCTTAATACTCTGCACAGATGGCCTGGCTGGGGCTCTGGCCGCCCTTTTCCAATTTTGGACATGGGTTGCTGAATAATAAGATTTCGTGGACTAAATTTTTTATGATGCTTTTGTGGGCATAGTCCTTTTATTTATTTATTTTTGTGGCTATATTTTTAAACCTCCCTTTGAGCCTTGTACATATATATATGAGAAAAATAATTTTTAAAAATAGATAAAAGGTCAGATGTTGATATTTAAAAACAAAATAGGCATATCCCGACCTCTCAAATTTAGATGGCAGAGCTCCATATAGTAGTTGGCTTTTCTTGATTTATAAAAAAAAATGGGTAATTCAAATATCAGGGAACAGGTTAAATCAACGTTTAGTTGATTTTTGTTCCACTAAATGGCGCTATGCCATCTGAAAAACGCTCATGTTAGTGATCAGGATATTCCAAATTAATTTTTTGTAATTTAATGTGTGAAAACTAAGAAAAAATATATAAAATGGTCAGGTGATGATCTCTAAAAAACAAAATTGGCATATCCTAACCGCTCACATGAGCATTTTGGGTTGGCCAAATATCTTCATTTAGTTGATTTCTGTTCCACTAGATGGCGCTCTGCCATCTAAAAAGCTCAAGTGAGCGGTCAGGATGTCTTTTTTTTTGTTTTCAATACATATATATTTGATAACTTAAACCAACAACTAGTATTGGTGTAATATAATAATATTATATCATGAAAAACGTGTTGAATAATAGAAACACCTCACAACTAATTTTAAGCATTTTAAACATGAACCATTGCCTCACAATATGTAATGTACTCTGTACAAACTGAAGATAATAAAATAAAGCTGTGTAATAGAAGAATAGTTGAGATAAATAGCAGAAAGTTAAATATAGAAATCTAACAACATGTTGAACGAGGCTTAAAGATGTCAGAAGGTCGAAGAGGGTACATGACCACTTCTTCTTGGTACCCCAGTATTGCGTCACATGAAGGAAGATACTTCCGCGCACCTTTGGGACTATATAAACTCATAAAAAGTAAGAAATCCATCGCCACTTCCAAGTCCGCGCGAGCCCTCGTCAGTCGATTCGTAGAAGCTGACCATGCCACCATAGACAAGTAAGAACTCTGCTCCACTTAATCTCCATCTTTCTGCTTAGCTAAACTCTATCTGTTCACGGAACTTTTCCCATTGCAACTTTGTCCTTCATTCTTTGTGTGGACCATCCCAAGTCTTCCATTCTGCCTCGACCATGACTGCCTGTACTCTGTGAAAGGTCTTCCAAGGTGCAAAGAGTATTTTGGAAAGCTCTCCTCACCTGATTGCCCTCTCGGTTACCGCATATATATTTTTAATTTAAACCATTTTGTTCCTATTTATATTCAATTATGTATATATAGATTTTTTTATTAGTCTCTGAATAAAATCTGTTTGCCGAAAAGGAGTAGTTGATTTCCCCTTTAACACTTTTTGCTAGCCTGTATAGATTTAGGTCTAAACATGTGATATAGATGAATAAATTTGTGGTTTGCAGGAGCCACTGGCCCCCATCTTTTAAGGCATGTATAGAGATTTGGAGATATTTTATTAAAAGGTAGCAGCAAAATGTTAAAAATCAATATATTCATTAGTCAGTTTAAATATTAGTTACGAACGGAGAAATATCGTCCAGGATAGCCTAGTGGACATGGCACCTGCCCGGTAAGCAGAAGGTTGTGGGTTCGATTCCCGCTCCTGGACACTTTTATTTTTCCGTTCGCCATTGCTCTTCATATTTTTCACCCTCCATACGTCATCCATTCATATATAGACCATCACTCTTCATATATTCAACCTTTTCATACGTCATCCAAAAGTTAGAAATATTAAATTATTTCTCTTTGAAATTAAAAATGATTTTTCATAAATAAAAAGAAACTTATGCGGTTAAACTGGTTGTATAGCTTTATAATTATACGCCGCAGTCATTTATAAGTATTATTAGTCAGTTTAAATATTAGTTATGAACGGAGAAATATCGTCCAGGATAGCCTAGTGGACATGGCACCTGCCCGGTAAGCAGAAGGTTGTGGGTTCGATTCCCGCTCCTGGACACTTTTATTTTTTCGTTCGCCATTACTCTTCATATTTTTCACCCTCCATACGTCATCCATTCATATATAGACCATCACTCTTCATATATTCAACCTTTTCATACGTCATCCAAAAGTTAGAAATATTAAATTATTTCTCTTTGAAATTAAAAATGATTTTTCATAAATAAAAAGAAACTTATGCGGTTAAACTGGTTGTATAGCTTTATAATTATACGCCGCAGTCATTTATAAATATTCATCATCATATTAAATTCTTTTCTAAAATCACATTGATCAAAAACAAACAATATTTTAATGATAAAAATGCATATACAAATTTTTATTTGAAAAGCCTTAAATTTAAAAATCATATGTGAGGGGAAATTTCATGATTAATCGCGAATATTTTATACATATAAAATATATCAAAATATCAAAAACTTCATTACAAATTTTAATAATTATTAGATTGAATAAAAAATCTCTAGAATGACATTAATAGTAGAAAATTGATTAAAACAGATGTGACTTTTGACTCCTTATTGAGTCTTGGTGCCCAAAATCCAGAGTACACCCTAACATCTAGCGCTGCCAGCTAAGCCTACTAGTGGACATTACCTCTTCTAGACTTCATGGGACATCATGGATTTATAACCACGTTGGTTTCCACGAATATCATTTCATTTTCTCAAAGCAGGTTGAAAACATTTTTGACTCTGCGATAAAAAAATCTGGTCAGACTGATTTTGTAAGGGGAAACAGGGCCATTTGTGAACCAGCTAATAGCTAATTACTAGTTGAGCGATAAATATCAAAACCTGCATTTGGAGAGATATCTTCTAATCTTTTATACACTTTCTGAAAGGTAGTAAGTCAATTTTCTTTTGATGTTTGGTGTCGCTATACTAAATTATTGTTATATACTACACTATATTAAATTATACACGTAATAATTATTGTAATATCTTTTAATAAGTTATATAAGTTATTATGCTAAGATAACCCACAAAGAATTGTGAATAGTTTTAAAAATAATACATTTCAATTATAGTTGCTTGGAAACCTTGGTGACCTTTGTTTATAAATATTCCAGAATCAACTGAAACCCCACTTAACCTAACCATGTCTCACCTTTCCTCCCTTAAAGCTGCAAATATCTGATGGCTCTGAGGGGTAGATGGAGTCTGAAACCTTCAGTCTTGACACCATCAAGCCGGAGTCTGAGATAAACTCAAACGTTCCTTTCTTATGGTGACCTAGGTGGCTGACTTTATCCCACTAGCTTAAAGTCAGTGTCCAGCATGGATCATGGGCCATATCTTCAAACAGGACACCAGTTTCACCACGAACCCTTGATTTTTCCCAAGCAGACCCCAAGGTCCCCAGGTTCCGCCATATACATCTTTATCTCCATCCAATATAGGCCCTTTTAATTATACATCTTTATACGTTTTGTTTTTAGAATCCAAACTTTTCAATCTATTATTTTTTCAATGCATTTTTCAAAATATTCTAATTTTTATATTCAATTTTAATGTTTTCTCATAGTGAAGGGTCGAGGTATCTTTGGGGTGAGTTTGGCAAAATTAGAGGTGTAAAGGCGGGATTTCTGATGTCTTCTGCCCGTATCCATGACGACTCTTTTGATCTCAGGGAGTTCTTAATATATATATATACCCTGCTATAAAAAAAACCTTACAAATATTCTGCACGCACTGGGGTTAAATTAATCATTGACTCTACGCGAATTAAGCACTCAGAGCCAAAGTTGAGATTCAAAACATTTTTTATATATTTATTGTTCAATTGGAATGGTAAAAAAAGGAGAAAATAAATGTAATAAAAATGGAGGAAAATATATATATAATTAACCTGTTGAAATAAAAAATATTATAAGTAGTTACTTATCTTTTTGGTGCTTCAGTTGGAGGGGTGGGGTAGAAGTTTTCTTACACTTACATTTAAAAAAACTACATTTTTTGGACGATTTTCTTGAGCAAAGAAAAAAAAAAGATCCCCCAGAAACTTTTTTCCTCGTGTCTCTCTCCCTGAAGCCTTTTATCTATCTCACTTATCTCTTTCCTCAAATCTTTTCGCCAAATTTTTCTATTTAACAGAGTAAATAAAATAAATTTAATTTCCAAAAATATTCCACTGTTAAAATAAAAAATAAATAATTATAATTTAAGAAAATTAATATTTTTCAAAAACTATTGTTTTAAAATAAAAGGGTTATATATATATATATACATTTCTTTATATGCAAGATTTGGAACATATGTGGGAGTGTGTATAACTACTAATTAAAATATGCATAGTATCTAATCATGAAATAAAAGAGTCAAATAATAATAGTCAACCTGACCTATATTAAATGTAAACTGGTAACTTCACATTCGACATCTTCAGCTATTCTTCCCAGTGTCTGTCAACCAAAATCTACTTCTACCAGTTCCATGCTTGTTGCGTTGAAACATGTCCAATCCCTATATAGGTTTTCCTACTAACCGATATCATTAAATATATCATGAGCAAGTTCGAAACTTGCTTATACCTAATAAAATAGATATTAGTATTTCATCAATGTATTTCCATACTATACGTCTGGTAGAGAGTCCTTTATAAAAGCTGATTAGGCTGGGTTGGTTCTGCAGGATGAACGCATCATCCAACGCATCATGGCACATAGCCAGTGTATGAGTAAACAAGACATTTAGCACAAAGCTCTAAATGCCAAAGACCTCACGCCCTACACCAAGCCCGTGACGTGATTTACTGGTCTAAACTGCACTATTTATTAATACCCTCGCCGAGGAGTCCTCATGTCAGTCGTTCCAAAGGCACCGCACACTACGAAACCTCGCGCGTCCCACTAATGGTATCAGACCCAACACATGAGTCAGTGCATAGAACCAATCAAGTCCCCCTACTAGTATGACCCACCCTAACTCAGCCTTTTACCACTAACGTTATCCATATGGAAGGAAGCATACCAACAGGCGTAACAACCCATAGTGAGAATACTTCCTGTTCTAGGCTTTGAAACCAGATATCACCCAGTTATCGAAACCTACATTGATTCAATTGAATAGCATGTAGCCATCTGGTGCGCCTGTGAATACCCGCTATGTCCACCAAAGTCCCACACATATCAAAGACTATATATATATATATATAAACTAAAATTCCCGCAGGAAGCTTAACAAAAGGAGCGACTATTCTCTAACTTTGGGAATTGCATTGTTCTGAAAGGCTTAAAACCCTAACAAAATTTGATATAAAAATAAAAAATTGATCTTATTAAAATTCCCGAACACTATTCTAGATACGTAGTTTGGTCTCAAAATATAAGGGGTTTTAACCTTTTTCACATTCATTATTTCAATCCTTTCATACGCCCTTCCCCCTTCGCGGAATGCATACAAACTAAAGTTAAAAATTGCTATAAACGCTAAAATACCTGCTGTATTTGCTGTAAATTTGGCCTATCGATAACTCAAAATTTTTAGGACTAATTTGTGAAATCAAAACGTAAAAGTAAAACCTGGGAACTTAATGCCCTTAATAAAAATAAACCTTGCAGTCTCCGAACAAACCTTTATATATTAAAATGACTGATGTCAGTCTAAATCTGTAAATTAACCTAACCTTAAAATATAAATATCAATATCCCTAAATTGTCTTTGTTTCAGCACCCAGTATCACGGCAAAGATAGTTTAATAAGGCAATTCATTAATTATATCGACAGGGAATAGGACATTCAACTCATGAAAGCAACAGACTGACAACTGGAGACACTTCCTCTACCGATAAGATTGTCTAATCCGCGGATGTTGGGTGCGGCAAATCTATCTTATTGACCGACCGCGAGTTTCTGTCTCTTCTCGTACATACTTCAGATACAACAGCTACTCTACACCAACAGTGAAACAACTTTACCCTGCTTGTCTACTGTAGTTAACACAGCGTACACACAGTAGTAACACCCCCCCGCCTTCGCAAGGTTCCCTGCGTAAACCTCAGAACCTCAGAGGTCCTTGATTCGACGACAGATTCAGGGAGTACTGGGAACTAAGGGTTCGAGGGCCAAAGGGGGGGGGGAGTCCTATTGGAGCGTAGGACTGGTTTAACTAAGTCCGAACGAGAGGGCTCGGTCAGCAATCTTGCCATGAACTCTCGAAGACGCCTGTGGGTTTGATTGGTCGACCCCATGGAGCCAGACCATAATGGCGGGCGCGAGGGGTCAAACAATGGCCGCTCGGTGCATGGAGAATGCATCATTCCCTTTTTGGCTGGGTGACCTAGATGTCAGCAATGGGTATGCCTTCGCATGCCGGTTTATGGACCTAAAGGTCTGGGTGGCCACTGCTCCAAAGATGTAGGTAACACAGTGGGGAAAGAAGAACGCCCACCCCTCACTCACCCTTGAGGATAGGGGAGTGGAGAGACGACTCTGCGTGTTCGTCCTTGCGTCGGGGTGCCACTGGCTGATCGCCAGTGAAGCTGTAAGCTGGCGATCTGCCCTTGGTTGGCTAGCGCGAGGCGCACGTGTCTTGAAACTCTTGGGTCTTCGCTCTGTGTGTGCGCCATTGGGAGCGTCCTTGCCGTGCGCGCGATGAGAAAACCAAGGGGTGCACACAGTAGTAACACCCTCCCGCCTTCGCGTCGGTTCCCTGCGTAAACCTCAGAGGTCCTTGATTCGTCGGCAGATTCAGGAAGTTCTGTGAACAAAGGGTACGAGGGCCAAAGGGGAGGGGGGTCCTATTGGAGCGTAGGACGGGTTAAACCAAGTCCGAACGGGAGGGCTCGGACAGCAACCTTGCCATGAACTCTCGGAGACGCCTGTGGGTTGATTGGTCATCCCCATGGAGCCAGACCATAACGGCGGGCGCGAGGGGCCAAACAATGGCCGCTCGGTGCATGGAGAATGCATCATTCCTTTGGTACGGTGGCTAGATAGCAGCAGAGGGCATGCTTCGCATGCCGGTTTATGGACCGAAAGGTCTGGGTGGCCATTGCTCCTGGGATGTAGGTAACACAACGGGGAAAGAAGACCCTTCCTTGGCACTGGCATGTTGGCTGGGAAAAAGGCAGGGGCGCCCACCCCTCACACCCTTGAGGATGACGGAGTGTAGAGAGGCGACTTCGTGTGGCGGTCCTCGCGCCTGTGGTTTCACTGACGCGGATTCGCCATGCGTCTTGAAACGCTTTGGTCTTCGCTCTGTGTGTGCGCGAGCGCGTCATGGAAAACCAAGGAGTACACACAGTAGTAGCATCACCTGATTTTCCATTATAGCAGACACTTTCTGATCATGGTCATACTCAAAAGGTCCCATTCTTTCTTTACCACTTTCCAGAGCTAATCTTACCTATTTGGACATAATTAAAATATGCGAACAAGATGATATCAACATTTCTAAAAAGGGTATTTATAATATTATTCACGACAAAAATATCAAGGTTTTATTCAAAGCACCTACGGAGAAATGGACAAAAGATTATCACCCTATATCTGTGAGAACTCCTACAACTGTCAAAAAAGTGACAAAAATATATTACAAAAGAAAATCCTATGCCACAAAGAGATATAGCCAAATTAATAGGAACATCAGTGTCAACAATAAATAAAACAATAAATAAAGATTTAGGCCTAAAAGCTACAAAAAAAAAAAAAACATGCGGTTCACAAATTGTTTCAGAGCCATGTTCGTCAGCGACACACTATCAGCAGATATTTTTATGAAAATTTCTTGGTTGCTGATAGATGGAAATTTATTGTTACATATGACGAAGCATGGGTATATTTAACCGATTGCGACAGAAAAAGAGCTATATACTATCAAAAAAGGGTGGTAGGCCAATTTGGTTGAAGTAATGTGCCGAAAGTTACTCCAAAGGAATTATGGTGGCATGCGGTATATCATATGAAGGAAAATTAAAAATAAGAGAAGTTGAAAGAAATGCCAAAATAAACTCGGAGTACTATCAAAACAACATTTTAGAACCTATATTTTCAAATGATATTCCCTCTATCTATGGAAAACAGAGCAACAAAGTCTGGTTTCACCATGATAACGTCACAAGTTATACCTCATCTTCAACCCAAGCTTATTTGGAAGATCTAAGTCAAAGAACAGAAATCAACACTATTCCAAAGAACAGAACCCCTGTAAAATCTCCTGATTAAGCCCCGATGGATTTTTGCATTTTTGGATGCTTTAAAAGAGCACTTGGAAAGAGACACCCAAGGACAATTGAAGGTCTCTGGAAAGTGGTAAAGGAAGAATGGGATCTTTTGAGTTTGACCATGATCAGAAAGTGTCTGCTATCGTGGAAAAACAGGTGCCGTTCTGTAAATAAACAAAAAGGCTTTCAAATAGAACATTAGAAAATTTTCAAATATGGTGTCAATTTTTAATATTTTATAATAAAACTTGTTTCCTATAAGTGTGAACACCCTCTGTATATGCAGGAATTATTTCTAG